TGGCCTGGTTTCCACCAAAGACGCGGAAATTAGACGCAGAATCCTTACAAAATAGAAGAGTGAACAAGATTTGACACTTCGGAAACCGGCCGAAGCTTCCAGAGATGCATAAGTGTAAAGAAAGACTCACAAGATATAGAAGCTGGCATCGCGCACATACGTAAAGTTCGAAGACAAACCAACTTTCCCTCCTCACAAACAAACCAAACCAATTTTCCCTCCTCAAAAACAGGTCAAACAAATGTTTCTACTTCAAAAAGTCAATATCAGAAAAAACTGCCACCCAGTCCATGCTATCACTGTGGGACTTGGCATTGGTATCAAGACTGTCCATACCGTTGTAAAACTTGTCTATCATGCAAAAAAGTAGGATATAAACGTTCTCATTGTTGGACTAGAAGAGAAAGCAAAAGCAGGATAAGAATCACGAGGACTGATCAAGCGGATGAGACTAACATAAGAAAATACGTGCAAGTAGAAATGCAAAACAGAAAAGTCAGACTACAGTTGGATTCTTGGTCGGACTTAATTATTATTAACGTACAAACATGGAGAAAAGTGAACAATGTAAGTTTGTTAAGAACCGATAAAATTGTTAGATCAGTAACTGGGAGAAAAATAAAATTTGAGGGGGAAGTAATTACAAATGTGACATTCAATGGAGTGACCTAAAAATTGAAAATGCATGTGCTAAGAAATACAGAAAACTTATTCTGTACGGACTGGATGCAAAAATTCGAACTTTGGGATTTACCAATAAGTACGTACTGCCAAAATGTAAAAAGTTTATCGACCGAGCCAGATAAATTAAGAGAAACTAAAAGAGAATTCCCCCGAAGTATATTCAGCAGGTCTCGGAAGATGTAAGAAAATGGCAGCAAATATAGAAACAAAAGAAAACGTTCAACCTATCTTCAAGAAAAAAGGAGAGTACCGTTTGCTTCAATAGAAAAAATAGATCAAGAATTGGCTAGACTCGAAAACACCGACATATTGACAAAAGTAGGATGCAGTCAATGGGACGCACCCACGGTTTACGTCAAAAAGAATCAGGGAGTTTCCAGGATGCGCCGATTTCTCAACGGGTTTGAACGCAACGATAAAAGACTAGGCACTATTCTCTACCCAGTCCAGAAGAAGTATTTACAAAATTAAAGACGGAAATTTCTTTCAAAAATAGATTTAAGTGATGCGTACCTACAAATCCCAGTCGATGAGAAAAGTTCAAAATTATTGTGCATAAAGACACACTAAGAATTATACAGATACCATACCAAAGATTACCATTTGGAATTAAGGTCGCGCCGGCTATATTCCAACAGACAATAGATACTATGCTCGCCGGACTAGAGTACACGATTGCAATGGCAATAAAAAAAAACTGCCAGTTAAAAAAACATAGCATAATTACAAAATTTTCTAGGCTTAGTGTATTATTATCAGGAATTCATTCCTCACATGCATAAACTTCGCGCATCACTTAAGGAACTGCTGAAAAAATAAAAGTTTGGAAGTGGACACATAAATGCCAGAAAACGTTTGACAAAATGATTAAGACGTTAAATTCGGATTTATTTTTGGCACACTACGACCCAAAATTAGAAATAATAGTAGCAAGTGACGCGAGCGCCTATGGAATCGGGGCGTGTATACAGCATAAAAAGCCGGATGGGACAATAAAACCCATCGCGCATGCTTCAAGAAATCTACTACCTGAAGAGAAAAAAAGATACTATTACATGTAATTGTTTTTTTATATATATATATATATATATATATATATATATATATATATATATATTAAAATTAACAGGAAAATATATTAAAATTGTTTTTGAATTTGTAATTAAATAAAACGTATTCTAACCTAAACTCCTCTCTCAAAGTACTACACGCACTTAAAAGGATCCAATAAAACACCTACAGTAAAATGAAATTAATATGAAAATCTAGAATATGTAGGCCATTAAATTACTAAGTTTATAAAAATAAAAATAATAAATTAAATGAAGTGAAAATATTTTAAAACCTAGTCTAATGTAAACATCCCAAGAAAAGTATGCAAATAGAAAAAATGGCGGAAGAATTTTTGCCGTTAACAATAAGATTTTATAAAAAAAATCCAGACGACATGCATTTAACGGATGTCAGAATTCGTTGAAAAATACATCCCTACCCCTACCTAACCATAACCCTTTTTGCAAATATAACTAATAACTGATAAAACAAAAGTTAATAATATGAACACGCAACCACCCCTTGTATGGATGAATGGATTTCTCTGTATCCTTGGAAATTGAAAATTATGATTTTTCGTCATGCATTTAAAACCCAGTAAATATAAAAATAAGTTACTCCAAAATTCGCTTGAGGATGAAATGGAACTAATGTCTTTAATTTGATTACAAAATTAACTTCTAAGCTTTTAGCTTCCGTTTTTGAAACTTAGATAGAACTGTGTAGCGAAAAAAACATATTTTAACCAGTTAATTTTTAATATTAATGCTCTGTAAATGTACATTGAGCCCTATTTTGTAAAAATAAAAATATCTATAATAACACCGAATTATATATCTTACTGTTCTTTATATATATATATATATATATATATATATATATATATATATATATATATATATATATATATGAAGTAATATACACTGCGTGCCAAATTATTATCAAGATAACTATTTTTTCTAATATTTCAAAAACCTTCGTGTCAATTCACACAAAAGTTTCACAAAATCTTGGCAACACTAAATTTTTGTACTGATCTGCGCAATGTAAACAAACTGGCGCCATATTTGTTATCGGCGCGGTGATTTGACCGTGCCAAATTATTAGAAACGTTTAGTACAATTCCCAGAATTGAGCAAACAAAACGTTTATTAATGTTGCACGTGAATATTTATGATCAAAAGAAGCTAATAAAGAAGATAATCAAACAAATAATAACAGATACAAACAAAGGCAAATTAATAGGGAATGTGCTTTCCCTGTTTTGAAATTACTTGAAGAAGTCGATGATCCATAGAATTGTTCCTGAATTGTGGTCCGTTGGCGTACAGTCTTCGCTTCATGATGCTCCAAATGTTTTCGATTGGGTTCAGATCAGGAGAATTTGCTGGCCACTTCATTTTTCGAGGTCCATTGAAGCCTAACTGTTTCAAATATTCAGTATTCTTGTGAGCAGCATGTGAGGGAGCATTATCTTGCATAAAAACAATGGCCCTTTTGAAGGTAAATCTTTGCCTTTTCAACCACAGTTCAAGATGCTCCTTCATAAACGCTATGTATGCATCAGCAGTCATTTTGACGCCATCTGGTACTCTCCATGGGCCCACTAATGTCTTTCCAATAATTCCACCCCAGATCATTATGCCTCCACCGCCTTGTTGGCGTCTCAAACGCTGATGCCGATTCTGTCTTTTCATTACCCAGCCTTTGTACCATCTATCTGGCCCATCGAGTGTTTTTCTCGAGTTTCGTCTGTGAACAAAACTTTCGAGAAGTCAATCTTCATATTGTCCTCGGCCCATTTCAATCGATTTTGAATGTGATTTTTTGTCAACGGAGTCTTCGATAGAGGTTTGACTGTTGTTGCTATGGCACTCAGATACCGACACCGATACTTTTAGACACTGTATGATTACCAATGCGACTGAAAAGCTCTTGACTGGTAATCCAGGGTTCTTCGTGGCCTCTCGTTTAAGTTGTGACATGAGACGACGTGAAATAACGCTCGGCTTGCTTTATCTGCCCTTTTGCGTACTTGTGTAGGGTCGGGGGTGAACTTTTTCACTGTTTGATGACACCTCCCTATCATTTTAGAAATTTCTAGGGTAGATTTACCTTTTGAGAGTTTTGAGGTGATAGTTTTCTTTTCAGCATCACTTAAACTGCTTTTTTACGGCCCATCATTTCACTAAATTCTTACACTTTTCAAATAACTTGGCACGCTCAAATCACTGCGCTGATAACAAACATGGCGCCAGTTTGCGCAGATCAGTGAGTAAATTTCAGTGATTGCGCAGGTCAGTGTTGCCAACATTGTGTGAAAATTTTGCGTAAATTGATTGGACGGTTTTTGAAATATTAGAAAAATATTTATCTCGATAATAATTTGGCACGTACTGTAGTCTTAACATGTGCTATATTTATGGGATAAAGTGCTCAATATCAGAGACAGAGCCTGCGTAAATATAAAGTGAACATAGGAGTCAACACTTAGAGGCGACAGTCTGTTTCATGCTAGTTGCAATCTAGCCTGTAATAGACTGTCGCCTCTAAGTGTTGACTTCTATGTTCACTTTATATATATGCAAGTATCGCATTATGTTTGAGTTTGTCCTCGTGTGCATCTGACTAATATCTTCTCTATTATATATGTTCTTGTAATTTAATTGAATGTGGAAGGAATATTGGAGGATGAATAAAAGAGAAATGTAACAGTACTAATGTAAGATTTGCCATCAGGGAGACAAAATATTCATTATTCCTTGACAATTTAGTATTTCCAATTTCACTCATTTTTCCCTGTATTGCAAACGGTAAAATTATTAGAATAAATATGCGTTATAAATATAAAAAAATACAATAAAAAAAAAAGTGAGAAAAGTAAGCCCGTCAGAAAAAGATGAAGAATTGTAAGTAAGCAAAAACTTGCTCTGATAAAAAAAAAAAAATGTATATATATATTTTCCATAATTTGATAAAACTTACTTCCAGTAACTCTAAACTCTGTTAGGTCTTCGTCTGTAGGGCTGAAATAAAAAAAAAAAACATACGGTATTTTCAAGGCAAAATAGTTAAGAGATATGTGATATTGTCATCTAATTCTCTGACACTGAAAAATAATTTATAAATATTTCCTCTTTAAATTAAAAAATTATTTCCTCTTTAAATTAAAAAATATATTGTTTTTTTTATAATTATATATATATATATATATATACACACATGTGTCTGTGCGTGCATGTGTGAGTTTGATTAAAATGTAGATTTTTTCTTATTATCTAAACTTGTTCTATCTATCTATCTATCTATCTATCTAGTAATAATTGATTCTTTTCCCACAAAACCTGCAGTTATTTACATCTTCCAACTTTAGTACGTAATTTCCAGTAATTTTACAAATATTTTAGAGTAAATTATCTCTGTTTATAAATTTTTTTGAAGCTCTTCACTTTGTTAGGAATAACGGAATTTAACTTGTTCTTTCTTCGTCTTCACTACTTCAATTATTTTTCTTTCTTCTCTATTCCCTTCTTTTCTGTATCTTACTCATTCGTATCGTATTTTATTCATTGAAATATTATCTTTTGCTTTTCTCACTCAGGGCTTGTTACAATGTTTCGTTGAAATTTGTTTTGTTTTCTTAATGTGATCTTACATTGCTGCAAATCATTTGTTTCTGCAACGTATATCTACCAAGTCTTTAGCAAGTCTTGTCTGAATTATATTATTCACACTAAGACTCAACACACTCGCTCCTCATCAACTTATTCAAATCATTAATTCGTCAGTGGATTCCAAACCCGAAACACATCAACATTACTCTACTCTGACTTATTTTTTCTTCTCCTTTTCATTTTATTTTAGTTTTTCACTTGACTTTTTACCTTCTTAATCCAATAAACTTCTGATTTTTATCAGCTATACTTTCAAATCTTTCTCTGCATTTTATTTTATTTTTAATGCTTTTTCTTGCAAATTCCTTTTTCCTTTTTTCTGACCGCTGCTGATTGATTGTTTCTTTTTTTTTATTTCTTTTCATTTAATTCACATTTTTTTCTTCTCCAGTTCTACCTTTCCATCTATTCTTTCAATTTACCTCATTCAATGCATTCAACTGGGGAATCCAATTCATTAATCAGTCTTCATCATAGATTCTTTCTCATTTCTTTTCTAAAATTCATCGTGTTCTCTTCAATGTTTCTTTTTCTCAATACTTATTTTAATTTTTTTATCTCTTCCCTCTCTTTATTTTCAAATTTCTTTCATTTCTTTCTTCGTCTTCACTGCTTCAAATATTTTTCTTTCTTCTCTATTCCCTTCTGTTCTGTATCTTACTCATTCGTATCTTATTTTATACATTTTTTGAAATAGGAAAGCCGAGTTCCATTTCCAGTCGGGTTCGTTATATTCACGCATGTGCAATTATCCTTCGGAAAGTGCGAAGAGTAGTAGGACTTGTCTTACAAATACATTATTATCTAAAAAAAAAGAACAACACTTAAAATATAAAAATATTTTCGGTTTTAAATTAATCGGCAAATTGTTCATAAGCCATAAGATCTAATCACTCAATCTTTCTTTTTGATTTTTTTCTTCTTTACTTGCTTTTATCTTATTCGTATACTTCAGCGATTTGTTTTCTTCTTTTCCCCGTCCCTAAATTCTTCCCTTCGACTTTTTCTTTTTCCATATTATTTATTTTCATTATTTCTCCTTTCTTTCAATGTCAGATTTTTATTCTTCTTAACGAACTTCTTCGACTTCTACGTCACTGCTTTTTCTTTTGCGATTACGTTTTCCCGCTTTTGCTACAATCACCTTTCTGTAAATGCTGTTTCACTTTTCTGTTTCTTTGTTTAATTATCGTTTCTTTTTTCATCTTGTTTTAGAATTGAAAAATAAATAATTTGCATTTGCTCATCCAATTCTTTAAAAAGTTCACATTCTCTTCCTTTTTCTCTGCACCCCTTCTTCATTTTTAGAAACTTTTTATTTTCTTTTATCAATTATCACTTCAGTGAGGGAAAATATATTTAATTTTATTTCTAATATAAAGATAGAAATTTGAATGTCCCTTGTGTATTTAACAGTTTGTGCACAACCCAATGTGCTCTGTCTTCAAAGAGTACCTCATCAAAATTCTTCATGATATACGAATAGCTTCTTTTGTATATATTCCTTTGCGTTTCTACCTTTATTTTATGTTTTTACTTCGCATTCTTAGACGATATCACTTAGACACTTTTTCATACTTAACATTTTTCTTCTTCAGATAATTTTCAATTATCATTTATTCTACATGGCCTATTTCTAATTCAAAATCTATTTGTAATTTATATTTTTCTATTTAGTATTTATTTTCTACTTTTCCTCACTTTCCACTTCACGTTTATTCTACTTCATCTTTTTTACCAAGTGATTTTAATTAAAGAAAATAATATTTTATTATGTTCATAAAAAAATATCGATTTTTCTATTCTAAAAACAGTAATATTATTTTGATCTCTTTCTCTCTCTCTTTCTCTCTCTCTCTCTTTCTCTCTCTTTCTTTCTCTCTCTTTCTCTCTCTTTCTTTTTTTTCTTCTGATCATGTTTCATGGATGACATCTTTCTGAACATAGTCAGGCTATTCAAGTTTATTTGGGAAGGATATTATAACATTTCAGTACTTATGCTAGTAGTAAACCGCCTACACATGGACAGAGAATGAATTCAGTAAATACACAAAAATAAAAAAAGTGTTTAAAACAAAAATGTTTCTTCTCCCCGGAATTATTCATCCTTTACAGTGAGGCAATTCTGAAAGAATTGGAGGCCACATTCTCAACATATAAGAAGTGCTGATGACACAGTGTTGTTAGCAGACACGGAAAGCAAATGACAATGACGTCTAAAGAATATAGTAAAAGAAATCGAGAATAAAAACTAAGCAACAGTTGTAAGAAAAGAAAATATATGATTGTGATCAAAAGGAATAAACTATTATTCGAATTAGCAAGAAATCAAGCAAGTACAACAATTTAAATATCTAGGAAATATTTTAAGAGAGAAAATGCGACACTGAAATCCGAAGTTATATTGGAATAGCGAAAGATGCATTTCAAATTTTAAGCAAAGTATTAAGAATCAGGTATATTTCGTTCGAAAAAAAGGAAAAAAAAAGATCGACGCTTATGTAATATCGTTCCTCCTATATGGCAGTGAATGACAATCTCTTCATCTGTAGAAGAGAATTGAAGCAACCGAAACGTGGTTCTACAGAAGGATGCTGAGAATTAAATGTGAGCCACGACGAAATTTGAGAGAAATGGAAACCAAAAGATAACTTACAGTTAAAATAAAAAAGAGACAATTGAAATGGCTATGGGAAATGTAACGCTCACAAGACATGTTAAAGAAAAGAGGGACAAAGAGTAGCAGTGAATAACTTACCAAACGTGTCTAATGTGTAAATAGTTAACAGAACAAGAATGAGTGTAGATAAACATTGCTAAGATTTACAGAGGAAATCAAGTTATGGAGAACCAACCTCAACCATTTTCTGAAGGGGAACAGCACGTAGAAGAAAACTCTTGGCGATCTTACTTCTGAACATGTAGCGTTGATTTCCTAAACTGAAAATGTAGCGTAGATGTCTTCATTCTAAACACTTAATCCGAATGCGTTCCGTCTGAAGATGTAGATTGGCTATGTTCCATCTGATAAAATAGCGTTTATGTCTTCCTTCTGAACATGTATCATGGATGACTTCATTTTGAACTTGTAGCGTGGATGTCTTTCTTCTGAACATTTAGCATGGAGGCCTTTCTTCTGAAAATATAGTTTGGATATGTCCCCTTTGATAATATAGTTTAGATGCCTTCCTTCTGAACATGTAGCATGAGTGTCTTCATTCTGAACATGAAGCGTAGATGTATCCATTCTTTATACGTATCGTGAATATATTCCTTCCGGAGATGTATATTTAATATGTTCTCTCTGATAATGTAGCGTGAATATCGTCCTTCTCAACGCGTAATATGGGTGTCTTCCTTCGCAAAATATAGCGTTGGGATGTCCCTCCTGAATAGGTCGCGTGGGTACCTTCCTTCTGAACATGTAGTGTGTATATTTTTCTTCTGAACATGCAATGTGGATGTATTCCTTTGAACAAGTGAGGTAGCTATCTACCTTCTGAACAATTAGCGTTGATGTTTTCCTTTTGAACAATCAAGGGATAAACTTAAGAACGTAAATTAAAAGAAATCAGTGACTAACATACTCGACGAAACAATAAAGGATATAAAAATTTCCTCGTAAAGGATAAATAATTATTTAGAGCAATCAAAAAAGGAAATTGTGGAGTTCAAACATCGCCATGAGGAGAGGTTTAATAAATTATAATTTTATCATTTAAAATCGTGAAAAACTTCACAGTTCAGTATGTATTGGAAAAATTAATTTTCAGCTTTAAATAAATTGCTATAAAATTTTACTGACGTGCACGAGTATATTTTAATGATGTTAATTCTCTGAAAATTGCGGTTGGATAATGATGTATTAATTATAACATGTCATTATAAAATTGCTGCAATTTTGAAGTAAAGGAACGCAGTTGCACTATTTCATTCTTCGTATCTACATGAAGTTCTTGGTCGCACCGAACAACAATTATGTATTGATTAAATATTTTTACGCTTTCTCTAAAATACAGTTTTATAACATATAGAGCCACTTATAAGTCATCTTTTTATATTTATAATCTGTTTTATAGTAGCATTATGATGTCTTCAAATACAGTACGTCTTTGAAAATTACATTTATTTTCTTTTTAAGGAAAATCCCTCTATAATAGTAATACAAATAATAATGCAAGAGGGCACCTCGATGTGGTGTAATGGTAAACAAGCTTGTCTTGCTAAGTCAATTACGATTGGATAATAAGTTTGGTTATCGCTCTGTACTCTATGACTTGTGTCGCATTTAAATTAGGCATAGAAAAGCACTTTCCAACTAAATTTACATATACAAACATGACAAAAAATATAATGAATCACTCATAAACCATAGAACGTTTATAAATGAATTTTAAACCATAGATAATTCAACATCATCATCATCATCATCTCATTGTTATTTGTAATCGCAGGGCAGATCCGAAAGCAGAAGCCACACACTTTTCCACAACTATTAACGGCAGCCATCAGCAATTCTGGTACCGTCATACCTGTCATTATTTTACATTATCCAACCAGTTTTTATTTTATTTTCTCTTTTTTTTTTTTTTGGCGTTGGTATTCTTTTCCTAAGTCCACTTTCAACGTTGCCTTGCTTGATAGTCTTGCGCAGGATGTCGTGTTTTGTAATGTATCATATACAACGCCATTTTTTTCTGTTTGACAGTGGCGAGAAGAGGTTAGTGATGTCCCACAAAACTTTCAACACTTTTCAACACAAACTGATTGTTATTTTTTTCCCAATAGAAAATGCAATTGTACTCAAACGCTTTGATTTTTCTTCCTGTATATGCTAACAGTATCCATATTTGACTTCCATATCGCTGAATGGAGACTACCAGCGATGTGTACAAACAATTCTCAAGGAATAAATACGATATGGCAATCGTGAATAAATAGAGAAAATAAATTATTAAATATAAGATCCGAACTCATCTCAAAATGCAGTCATGAACAAATTTTTACTACGTTACTAAAAAATCGAAAACTGAAAAAAATAATATAAAATAAATAAACAAAAAAGACAATAAAATAATAAAAATAATTTAACCCAAACAAAATAATAAATCGCACCCGTTAGAATGAAAATAAAAAAATAAAATCAATGAACACAAATAAATAAATAAAAAAATAAAAACAAATTAAAAAAACCCATTATGACCAAAATATTAGTTAGACTATAAAATATCAAACCAAAAATCAGACGAAAAAAAAATAACTATAACTGTTATATAACGATAAAAAAAAAAATACTACGTTACTTAAAAAATCGAAGACCGAAAAGAGTAAATAAAAATATACAGTATAATAAATAAATAATAAAAACCAGTAAAATAAATTCATCTAAATTCATCCAAAAATTAAATAAACTAACAAATCGATCCAGATAAATTAACTGTTAGAAAAACAAGTAAAGATAATCAATCCAAATAAATACATGAAGTAATAAAGAAATTTAAAAAATAAAAAAAATGTGCCCGGCAAAATAATAGTTCGAATAAATTACAACAATCAACCCCAAAATTGAATAAATTCCTTTAATTACTTTTCCAAACCAAAACAAAACTATTAAAGCAGTATAAACAAATTTTTACTACGTTAATAAAAACACCGATTAAAATAAAAATAAAAAAATACATTAAAAAAAAAAAAAAAAATTTAACACAAATAAATAAAGAAATAAACGTCTTCCGGTAAAATAATCGCCAAAACAGACTATCCACAATGCACAACTGACCCGTATATATAAAAAGCCGAAAAATATAACAGCACTCGCGGCCTGACGATTGCGTCTAGCATGAAACAGACTGTCGCCTCCAAGTATTGAATCTATGTTCACTTTTATATTTACACACGGTCTATCTCTGATAGTGACGACTTTATCCCATAAGTATAACACACCTTAATATATATATATATATATATATATATATATATATATATATATATATATATATATATATATTCGTAATATTTCGTAATATTTCCTGGTTGTTGGTGAATGCTCAAATACAAACAGTCTTATGCTTGAGTTATAAGTCATTATCAATTATCCTTGGTTTTTATATTTCGTGTAATTTGACGGTTTCATCATTGCTCATTACGTCAGATGGTTTTCACGATATCGCATTTCCACGTACCTTCTAACGTGTCTTGTGTCACATTTTTATGTTATATATTTATGCTAATTTTCCTAAATTTGATAATTCTCAATTGAAGCGTTGTGATTTCCATTTTACTCTTAATACTTATCGTAATTTTGGACAATCATTAAAGTGGTAATGATTCGTCTGAGTGTTGATATTATTTTGCTGTTAGTTATGGGATTTAATTATTTATTAGTGTCAGATAAATAACACTCTAATTAGAGCGATAACATCTTTGATTTAGACAATCTAAATACATTATTTTTTTTTTAGTTTAGATGCAAAATCTTTCTTCCAATTTTCAATTCATCTTTTGCAAACTCTCTGAATACAGTAATGTATGCAGTAGCAATCCTCTATCATCATTTCAAGCTCCGCTCTCCTGTTTTTAATACGTTTCTAGATTATCCAATTAGTAACAGTTCTAGGATTCTTGTAAAAATCTTATTCTTATATTTTTCATGTCCTTTAATATTTGCTTCTATGACTTTTAACGCCATGTCCGAAATTTTGCTGATATTCATTTTCAAGAAGAAGGATCGTCGTCTAGGTAATGTAAAAAAATTCTTAGTATTCCTGCATTATTGTTCTTTATCTTCTATTCTACTATTTTGAAACACATGTTATGGTCTGAGCACTGAAGTTAATCAACGTCGCTCCTGGTCAGTAGCTCGATGGGTGAACGCTTGGGAATTCCAGGCCCTATAAGCTTCGATGTGTAGTTGCTGTGATGACTTGGAATTGGAGGCGAGC